CAATAATATGACAAAGAACGTTTCCTTCGTTACCTATGTAAAAATGTAACCCCTTCTTCAGGAGGTCCATGATTTCAGAATCAAGAGGGACTGAGGATAGATTTACTACCTTGTCCGCATAATCGCTTGTAGCAGTTAATGCCTCCAATATAGAACCATCAAAATTCCCCATGTTGACCTGATCCTGCGTTGTCTTATCATTTCAGAACTAAGCAATCTTTTGTCATGCCGATTATTGAACAAATCCTGGATCCTCTGTGACTTCTGGTCAGTCATGTTCTGGAGTATTTGAAGATCCCCCAGCGTGAGAATACTGCCTAGATCATTTCCAGATCTAGACTTAATATGTATGAATTTAAAAAGCTCACTCATCTCAAGCTCGTAACTTTTCTCCAATTTCTGAATGTAGGCGTTTATTCATTAGGTTGCGGAACCCTGTTGCGATACTTTAGTGTTTGCAACAATTGAGAAAGATTAAATGGCATGATTGACTTACAATTGTCTTCTTGGACCGGCTGTAATCGGTGCATTGTTTGACAATCCCACTTCCATGGCTTCATCGACAATGTAAGACCAAGATGAAGTCGCGGTATCCTTTCGTTGTATGGTAGTTGTTTGACCTTGTCTTCGCAACGTGCTCCTGTTGGCAGGAAGACCTGGGAAATGCATCAATTCCACACATTCTGATTCATACTATGAACTACCGACTAGGTGCGCTCTTCCAGGTCTTCCTACCAATTGGACCAAGTTGCGAAGACAAGTTCAAACAACTACCATATCGCGACTATACTAACGGCCACATCATCTTAGTCATACATTGTTGATTAAACTATGGAAGTAAGATTGTCAAACAATGCACCGATTACAGCCGGTCCAAGAAGACAATTGTAAGTCAGTTATGCCATTTGATCTTTCTCAATTGTCGCAAACGCTATGATATCGCAACAGGGTTCCGCAGCCTAATGAAGGTATTCATACCTTCGATGAAGGGGGTTTTACTAGAACACACTTTTTTCTCGCTCTGGCGATGCCTGCAAATGGATCAAGGTTGCAGGACGATGTGGCAAATACTGCTTTACTCGAATTAGCAGGCAAAACTATGGGTCACTCTTCGTTCGTTTTCTGATTTGGCCAATATACAGATTCTTTTCAGCCAACCTTTCAGACTCGCCGAATGGTGGAATGTCCCTTCAGTGGAAATTAGTTTAAGGAACCGAGTTCATTTGTCTCTGACGTCTGTAGCTCGCTTCTAATCTTGGCGCCAACTACAATCCTAACTGAAAGTCTGGCAATGCACCTAATCAGCCGTTCGATGCTGGAAGAAGCGATGTCGGCAATAAGAGAGGACGTTACACCTCAAAAAGGTTGTCAACATGAGGTCGGACCAATTATATGAATCGAAATGAGACAAAGTCCACTTTATGGCCTTTATGAAGTTGTACAAACTTTAACTTTAAATGGCTCTTACTGCTCTTAGCGTAATAGTATACAATAAAAATTGTAAATGTAAAGATAAAACAATGTGGTTTATAACTTTTTCGCAGTTATTGATACGAAGAGACCTGGGTGATCAGTATGCGTGAGAATCTCTGCCGTGAAGCAGTTATTACTTGGGCCGCCATACACATGCTCTCATGAGTTTGCTGCTGGTCATGTGAATACCGGCAGCATAACGTCACATACGATTAACAGAGGCCGAATGTATGAAATTGGTCAGTTTGATAAAGCATGCTGACAAAAGTTGGGTCAACTCGGTCGCCATGTGGAGGTACCATTTCGGATCAAAAGGTCCAGCAGACGGAATTCAAATAAAAATTTAAACATAAAAAAATAATATCCACTTATTTTAATCAATCTAAAGATTATGACTAAAATATTCAAAATAAAATCATCAATACCCACTAAACATAGTGGGTGAACTACTAAAATTAATTACATTGTTTCACTGGATTATGTCACTATTCCTTAATATTAAGATTCATTTAAACTAACAAAATACTTTTTGAAACATAGATGGGAAAACTTAATTTAAACAAAAAACAAAATGACAACATCCAACCACATAGAGTCCGGGTACAAGTGTGCACACACATACATATTTATGTTTATATATAAATGCCTTATGTGTGTATGCATGTGTGAACGTATATATGTATTACCTTTCCAACACTGGATATGAAGCAAGTCAATTGTATTTTCACATCTCCCAAACTTATAAAGCCATAATTAATTTATCTTCTTATGGTATTCCGTATGCAAGATTGGTCGGTTGTTAAAGTATACAAAATGCTTGTCTGAGCTGCCTGTGTCAATTTGTTCAGCGTTTTGCTATGACAATAGAAAATGGCATTTTAATTTCATACAACTTCGTATCAATCTCTGATTAAAGTATCTAATTTTACTAACTTTACTCATATCAAATGACTATGGGGACTTAGGCTGACTTCAAACTTTATGGTATTCTAGGAGCATACTCACGAGGAATGTGATTTCAATTTGATATGGCCTTTCGAAGTAACTTCTCATTCAATTTATTTCAAAAAATACTGATAGTCTCTAAATATGATGAATGCGAATATGGTTTCAAGGTTGTTCAGCCTCCCATTCAATGCATGTTTGCAACATGAACTAGTGGTATTCTTGTCGCGTACTCTTGCTAAATGTATTTACATGTGTGTTTAGTTTTTTAGGTACATTTTTAAATGTATGATTTTTATTCCACAAAATATTTGTATCAAGCTCTTTTGATGTACTCAAAATCCTACTTAAAAAGTGAAAATAAGTATGCTCTAAAGATTGTTTATCCTTATTGACGTTACTTTCGAACGCAAAGACGTTATTCCATACTGATGTGTATAAGATCTAATAATATTCTATTCATTTATTCACTAAGAATAATATTTCGTGCCTTCTAGCCATTTTTCTTGGATTTTTAATAATAGGATTTTCATTACTGATTGACATAAAGATTTATTTTTAAGTTCTTCCATCCTTTCTGATGTAAATCTAAGAAATATGGTCCTTATTTAGTAACAATTTGTATAGAGATCTTCAGATATTCTCTAAACTTATTCATAGGAAATATTATTTTATGTTTTACCAGCCACTTTCATACTTCTTTAAATTGGATTTTTATTTAATTGAAATTTGTATATTTTTTTATTATGTTCTCCATTTGAACTTACTTTAATCAACTTAAATGTGTATTGTGACCTATATTGAATGAATGCTCCTTCACTTGCATTATTGACGGTCTTATAGCATATTCATGATGGGAGTATTTATAATCAAAGATTAATTTTTGGGCTTTATCAGTGAAGCTGTTTAATACAGGCTATGAAAGGCTTGAAGTAGAGTGTAGGAAATAATGCCTCGAGTAGCCAGGATGAGGTAGAAGGGGTAGATAAACATATTAGGACAGAAGGAGAGAGAGAGCACAACCATTTGGCTGAAATATCAGCTGTATTCACCCAATTTTATTTAATTTTATCACGAGTGGTAGTTA